GTGTTTGAGACGTATGTGTCGTGGCGGCAGTACCGGATGTATAGTCGGACGACGCCGCCACCGGCGCTGGCGGGTCACGTCAGCGAGGACGATTTCCGCAAGAGCCAGCGGTATGGCCGAGACAAGATGCGCTTTTCGATGGTGTCTGATGCGGTGATGCATGTGGTGAACCTCGTGAGTGTGAATGGCAATGCGAGTGCGCACATGTGGGGCTGGGGCGGTGGGCTGCTCCGCTGGCTGCGTGTGGCGCCGAGTGAGCAGGCGCTGTCCGCGGCGCACATGCTGGTGACGACGGTGTGTTATCTGCCGCTCAAGATGGTGCTGGAGGCGTATCGTGCGTTTGTGATTGAGGCGCGGCATGGCTTTAACAAGCAGACGTGGGGCACGTTTGGCATGGATCACGTCAAGCAGCTGCTGCTGAGTGCGGCGCTGGGTGCGCCGCTCGTGGCGCTGTTGGTGAGTGTGATCCGATGGGCGGGCGATGCGTTCGTGGTGTACACGGTGCTGCTCGTGCTGGCTGTGACGCTGTTTGGCTCGGTGATTTTTCCGACGTTCATTCAGCCGCTGTTCAACACGTTGACGCCCGTGCCGGAGGGCCGCCTGCGGGACCGCGTCACGGCGCTGGCGACGTCGCTGCGCTTCCCGCTCAAGCACCTGTACGTCATTGACGGGAGCAAGCGCAGTAGTCACTCGAATGCGTACTTTTACGGGGTCGTGCCGGGTGGCAGCAAGCACATTGTGCTGTATGACACGCTGATCGAGCACTCGACGCCCGCGGAGATTGAGGCGGTGCTCGCGCACGAGCTTGGGCACTGGTCGTACTCGCACCCCGTCAAGATGATGGCCGTGTCGTACGTGCAGATCGCCGCGCTGCTGACGCTCTTTACCGCGTTTATCGACAATGCCTCGCTCTATGCGGCGTTTGGCTTCCGCGGGCCGCCGCTGCCCGTGTGGATCGGCCTCGAGCTGTTCAGTCTCGTGCTGCATCCGCTCGATGCGCTGCTGCAGTTTGGCATGCACGCCATGACGCGCCAGATGGAGTATGCCGCGGATGCGTTCGCGGTGCGTCTGCCGCGGCCGCAGGGCGCCGACGACGGCAAGACGTACCAGGAGCTGCTGCAGTCGTCGCTCATCAAGCTGCAGGTGCACAATCTGTCGACGATGCACCATGACGCGCTCTTCAGTGCGTACCACCATAGCCACCCGACGCTGCCCGAGCGCCTCGCGGCGATCGAGCGCGTCGCCAAAACCACGTAAGCGTTTCTCCACCACTATGATCGCCGGCTGGATCCAGGCCATGTGTGCGGTGCTCGACACGCCTGCGGTGCCGTGGCAGCAAGTCGCGAGCGCGCTGACGACGCTCGAGTACGTCGTGCACATGTACGTCCTGCAGCGCCAGGCGCCGCTGTACGAGCGCACGCAGCTGCCGCCGGCGCTTGCGCCGTACGTGAATGCGCGCGACTTTGCCGAGCGCCAGCAGGCGAGTCGGGCGGCCGTGCGCTGGGAGATGATCACTTACACGGGGCGCTATGCGCTCACGATGCTGCGGATCGTCTTGCTCGCGAACGCGCAGGCATGGACGTGGGCCGGGCGCCTCGTGCCGCACAGCGAGGTACGGCGGACGCTGGTGTACGTGCTCGTCCTCGCCGCGTTCTTTGTGCCGTTCGAGCAGCTGGTCAAGGCGAGTGAGCTGTACATGGCGCAGCGGCAATCGTCGCCTGCCTCGCTGGCGCCGTGGCGTACGCACCTGCGCGACTTTTTCATCATGCTGCCGTTCCGTGTCCTGCTCAGCCTCGCGGTCGTGGCGTGTGGCGTTTCGCTCGCGCACTACGCCGGCGAGATGCTGCCGGCGTACATCATCGCACTCGGCGCCGTGTACATCGTGTTCGTGTCGTTCGTGTACCCGCGCGCCGTGCGCCCGTTCTTCGACCAGCCCGTCGTGCTCGACAGCGGTGCGCTGTACACACGCGCCCAGGCCGTGGCGGCGAAGCTGCGCTTCCCGCTGGAGCATGTGTTCCTCGCGACGCAGAACTCCTCGGACGGCGGCGCCTACTGCTTTGGCTCACGCACGTTCTGCGTCGTGGTGCTCGATCGCCTCGCGAGCGATGCGGAGATCGAGGCGGTGCTCGCGCGTGCGATGGTGCCGTGGACGCTGCGTCATCCAAGGACGCTCACGCTGTGTGCGGCGGTGCCCCGGGCGCTGTGGGTGCTGGGCATGGCGCTGCTCGTGCAGAATGCGTCGCTGGCGCGCGCGTTTGGTCTGGAGGACGTGCCGCGCCTCGTCGGCTGGCACCTCGCCGCGTGCATCGTGCAGCCGCTCGTGGCCCTGGCGCGCTTCGCCGCGCACATTCTCCAGCACCGGCTGTGCTTGGAGGCGGATGCGCATGCGGTGCGCCTGGAGCCCAAGCCGGGCAGCCTCGTGCGTGCGATCGCGACGCTCGGCGTCGAGCATCTGCTCATGGCGTCCGCGTACGACGACGCGCTGTACAGTGCGTACGAGCGCGACACTCCGACGCCCACACAGCGTATCATGGCGCTCGCTACGTGACTACTTGCGCTCGAGGCTCTTTTTGTAGGCGGCTTCCATGTCGGCCTGGACATTGGGCATGACAGGCTCGTGCTTCTTGTACTCCATAGAAAACTCGCCCTTGCCCTGCGTCAGGCCACGCAGCTGGCTCGAGAAGCCAAACATGTCGTTCAGCGACACCTCGGCCGTGATGGTAAAGTCGTCTTCGCGCACCTCGGTGTCCTCGATCGTGCCCTTGCGCTGATTGAGCGCGCCGATCACCGCGCCTTGGAACTCGACGGGCGCGAGCACCTCGACGGCCATGCGCGGCTCCAGAATCAGCGGCTGTGCGCCACGGAACGCCTCGCGGAACGCGGCGTGCGCAGCGATGCGGAATGCCAGCTCGCTCGAGTCGACGCTGTGCGCCGCGCCGTCCTCGAGCACCATGCGCACGCCACACACCGGGTAGCCAGCGAGCGCGCCCTTCTCGAGACCGTCGTGGAAGCCCTTCTCACACGCAGGAATGTAGCTCGGCGGAATGTTGCCGCCGACGACGCTGTTCACAAACGCCGTGTCCTTGCCCGTGTCCTCGTCGACCTTCATCGGCTCAATGTAGCCGATCACGCGACCAAACTGACCCGCACCACCCGTCTGCTTCTTGTGCGTGTAGTTGAACGGCGCAGTCTGCGAGATCGTCTCGCGGAACGCGACGCGCGGCTTGCCCGTCGTGCACGGCACATTGTACTCGCGGCGCATGCGCTCCACGTAAATGTCCAGGTGCAGCTCGCCCATGCCCGAAATGATCGTCTCGCCCGACTCACTGTCGACGTGCACGCGGAACGTCGGGTCCTCCTTCTGGAAGCGGTTCAGCGCGCGCGAGAAGTTGACGCTCGTGTCCTTGCCCTCCGGCGTCAGCGACAGCGAGATGACCGGCTCCGGCACAAACATCGCCGACATCGACAGCGCCGTACTGCCGTCCGTGAACGTATCACCCGACGAGCACTCCACACCAAACATGGCGCAGATCTCGCCGGGGCCAATCTCCTGCACATCCTCCATGTCGTCGGCGTGCATACGCACCAGACGCGGCACCTTGACCTTCTTGCCCGTACGCGAGTTGAAGATGATGCCGCCGCGGCGCAGCACACCCTGGTACACACGCATGTACGTCAGCTGTCCAAAGCGGCTCTCTTCCAGCTTGAACGCCAGACCGACGAGCGGCGCCTCAGTCGCCGGCACCAGCTGCACCTCACTGCCGCGCTGCGCCGTCGACTGCACCGCCGTCACGTCCTCTCCAGCCTCGTTCGCCTCCGCCGCCAGACGCTTGGCCACCGCCGTGTCGTTCGCAACGGCCCGCACCTCCATCGGATTCGGCAGGTACGCACACATGCCGTCCAACAGCGCCTGCACGCCCTTGTTCTTGATCGCCGTGCCAAGGAACACGGGCGAGAAGCGGCAGGCGACCGTCGCGCGGCGCACCGCCGCCACGAGCTCCTCCAACGTCGGCTCGCGCTCCTCGATAAAGATCTCTGCCATCTCGTCGTCCACATCCGACAGCTGCTCAATCAGCTCCTGGCGCTTCTGCTTCGCGAGCTCCAGCACCTCGGCAGGAATCTCGTCCGTTTCACGCACGACATTGCCCTTCGTGCCTTCGTTGTACACGGCCTTCCAGCGCACAATGTCGACCAGCCCAGCAAAGTCATCCTCCGCCCCGATCGGCACCTGCATCGCCGCCGCCGGCATACGCAGCTTGGTCCGGATCTGCTCAATCACACGGAACGGGTTCGCACCCGCGCGGTCCATCTTGTTGATAAACGACAGGCGCGGCACACTGTACCGGCGCATCTGGCGATCCACCGTCATCGTCTGAGACTGCACACCCGACACGGCACACAGCACCAGCACCGCTCCGTCCAACACACGCAGCGCACGCTCGACCTCAATCGTAAAGTCGACGTGGCCCGGCGTGTCGATAATGTTGATGTGGTAGTCCTGCTTCTTCTGCGTCGTAACCTCCGTCGTATCGGCCGCATCACCCGTCATGTCACTGCGCTCGGTCGGCGGTGTCGCTTTCCAGTTGCAGTACGTCGCGGCCGACTGGATCGTAATACCCTTCTCACGCTCCAGCTCCATGCTGTCCATTTTCGCGCCGACTTCATCACGTCCACGCACTTCGTGGATGTCCTTGATGCGGCCCGTGTAGTACAGCACGCGCTCCGTCAACGTCGTCTTGCCGCTGTCAATGTGCGCACTAATACCGACATTGCGCTGGCACAGCAAGCGCTGAAGATCCGACTCCGTAGGCTTGATGTCCGTCGCTAGCGGCGTGGCTTGCGTAGCGAGACTGCGCACCCAGCGCATAGCGCGCGTACGTGTGGCGCAACGCGCGACGGATGCCACGCTCATTCGCATCAGGGCAAGACAAAAAGGACTTGGGCCGAAAACCCAACGCTGACGAAGCCCTCCTCCACACAGCCAGGAAGAAAAAAAGGAACGACAAGAACAGGATTCGAACCTGTGCGGGCAGAGCCCATTCGCTTACCACTGGCTTCCAGTGTCGATGATTCGAGGCGAACCCGTTAACCTCTCCGGCACCTTGTCCAACGACCGTTGCAAGCAAAGAATGAAGCATACATAATACCCACGCCGCCTCAGGAAGTGGCAAAAAAGAGAACCGACAAGAACAGGATTCGAACCTGTGCGGGCAGAGCCCATTCGCTTGCCACTGGATCCCAGTGTCGATAATTCGAGGCGAACCCGTTAACCTCTCCGGCACCTTGTCATGCGTTTAGATAAGCCGGTGCGGCAAGCCTATACAGGCCCATGTCGGCCTACGCGGCTGCCCACGCGTCTTCCCCCACGGGGGCCCTCTTGGTATGACCGCCGACGAGCACGGCGTAGCACCCGAAGTGTGTGATGACTACCCGTTTCTACGTCTTGTCAAGCTGTCTTCTGATGTCTTGCCATCGCATAAAACGGTAGCGATCGTGGACGGGCGGCATGGAGGCGTGAGTATTGGGCGAGACAAGGCGTTTACCGCGCGACTTCGGCTGCCGTCGATGGAGGTGAGCAAGCACCATGCGAATCTGTTTTCTACGTCGCGCGCGCCTATTCGCTTTTCCATCGCAGATACGGGATCGATGCATGGCACGTATGTGCGACGGCGCGCTTCGACATCCTATGAGCGGCTGTCGCCACCGAAGCACGCGAGTCGGCCATGGACGTTGGAGCATCTCGATGTCGTGCGGATTGGGGTCCAGAGCACGGAGTTCGAGGTACACTTGCATGACAAGGAGGCGTGTGACAGGTGCGCTGTGGGGCTGGACGGTCAAAATGAGCTGTCGTTGGCGCCGACCGCCACGAAAGCCGCACGACGTCCGGCCGCGGAGCCTGTCGTGGGCGATGGCCGAAAGCAGCTCAAGGCGCTCAAAAGCATGTATGTGCCACGCACTGTGCCGCAGACCAGTTCTGCCTACCGTGATCGAGCGGCTGTCCGTCGCCGACTGTACCCGCCTGAGCCTGCGCCGCCTCCGCCCACGACGACCGCGGGGCCCGATATAGGTCGGCGGATGCTGCAGCACATGGCCCAAGGCGCGGATGTGCCGCTCTTACGGCAGTCGCCCATTGTGCCGCGAGTCACGCAGGGCCGAGCTGGTCTCGGCAGCGGACGGATGGTGGATGCCGACACCTATGCGCAAACTAAATGACAAAGACTTGCGTGCGACGAAGCCCGCCGGCAGGTCCAGCGGTGCTTCGTCCTGTATCGAGCAAGGCGTGTTCGGCCTGGAGCTCCGTGAAAGCCTCGCGAATATGCCATGCCTCGAGGGGTGGCTCCGCGCTGGCTGATGTAGAAAACAGGGTGCACGCCGGTGCATCGTCGTCCGTGTGCCGGCCGCGCATGGTGCGCATGGCCTCGGCCTTTTCTTCCCAGTCGCGCTTGATGCGCATCGCACGCGTACATAGCTCATGCACGACTTCAAAGGCCAGGAAGCCGAGGATATCGATGGTATCGTCGCTGGGCTTGACGTCCAGGTACAGGTTGGCGTGAATAAACTCGCGGAATCGCTTGGCCTTGCGGAACGTGAACGAGGCTTGTCGGCACTCGGAGTAGAAGACGTATTCTTCGCGTGTCATGCGCCGCGTCGTCTCGTCTGCGGCCTTGAGTCGCCGAATCGAGTCTTCGTTCGTCTCGTGGACGTCGTCGTCGTCGTCGTCCGCATCGTCCTGCGACGCGCGTGGATAGTCGCAGAACACGGACGACAGCTCCCATGGCAGACGCATCTTGCGCTTGTTTACGCGCAGGGGCGTATCCTCGCCGCCCTCCTCGATGCCGTCGCCTTCCTGCGCAGGGCCAGCACTGCTGCCGGCGCTTGCGTCATTCGTGTCCTTCGCATTCTTGCGCACGTCCTTCCAGCTCAGGTACGTGCGCAGCCGATTGACCTTGGCCTTGTCGTACCGAATCAGAAAAATCAGGTCCTCGGGCGTAAAGTACTTGGACATGCGGCGCTGGGCCATGCGCCGCGACTGGATGATCATCTCAATCACTTGATTGCGCACAATGTCCTCAATCAGCCGCGTCACCCGCGGATCAGGGTTCTCTACCTCCGTCGACACGAACATCTTTCGTTAGCGACACAACGCACCATCTGCGCAATCTCCTGCTGGTAGCGGTACACGGTCTCAGACCGGGCATCGTCGTTCATGCTCGTCGTATCCCACCAACCTCCACCACACCGCCGGGATGTCGGAGACGGCCTCGGTGGCGTCGTCGGCCACCGTCACGGTATCGCCGGATGTGCGCACGTATGTGGATCTGTACTACGCGTCGCGTGCGGAAGAAGGTGTGTGCGTGCAGGAGCAGCTTCTCACAGAGTCCATGTGGAAACTCCGTGGCGTCGTCGAGTCGCGCAAGCAGCTGCTGACGCGGCACACACAGGCCCTCGATGCGGCGCGCGCACAGCACGAGCGCCTCCGTTCATCGCTTCTTCACCGCATGACGCGTGCACAGCACATCCGCCTGACCGCTGAGGGTGTGGCGCGTGCCGAGTCGCGCGTGCGGGAAACGACGCAGGCGCTGTCGGCAGCGCAAGCCGAGCAGTCCGCGCTGGAAAAGCAGCGCACGGAGCTGGCCAGAGCGGCTGCGACGCGTGCGGTGGAGCAGACGCGCCTCGACATGCTGGGTGACGCGCTGTGTGCGCCGGGGTCGTCGGCGGCGGCAGCTACGGCGCCGTGTATGACGGAGCTGGAGACACTGCGTCTACTATGCAAGCTGATTCCGACGGAAATGGTCCGGGAAAAGCGCACGCGCGCAGCGCTCGTCAAGGCAGAGTCCAATGGGCGTGCATGCCTCAAGATTCTGCGCGATGTGCTCAACATGTCGATCCAGCTGGGTATGGCGAACGACAACCGCGATCGCCTGTTTCCGGGGCAGCCGTCGACACTGACGAAGCGCAGTATGCCGTACTTTTTGCGTGCAAAGGTGTGTCTGGGCGACTTTTATACGAATGTTTCGAATGCGCGCATGCGGCAGGCGCTCGTGGAACGCGCGCCGATCATGGATCTGGCCGATCTAACGCGGCTGCCGGGGAAGAAGAACAACCCACTCGATGCCGACGGCATGCAAAAGTCGATCGAGACGTCGTACACGCAATGCCAGCACGTGTGTACCTATGCCCAGCACGAGATTCGCATCTCGCACGCGCGCGAGGCGGCGCTGCGAACGTTTCAGACCGAGACGGAGGAGCAGATTCGCGCAGCCGAGGAGCGTGTGCGTCAAGCGCGTGCATACGCACTCGAGGGAAAAGAGGAAAAACTGGCGCAGCTCATGGAGGCGCTGCCGGATGAGCACGACGGTCCTCGGCCCCCGCCGCTCGCGGCCCTGGGCTTTGATGAGGACGAGGAGCGCGAGAGCCTCAGCGACACCGCCTCGGTCGCGTGCACGCTGGCCTCGACGGCGACAGCCGTCTCGATCGTCGGCTCGTCGCCGGCCGTGTACGCGCGCGCCTGGACGCGCCTGCACCGGCGCGTCGTCGACATCAACCACACATGCCGCACGGACCACGACGACGAAGACCTGCCCTGGACGCCGGGCGCCCTCGGTTTCTAGGCACCACGTGGCATCACGTGAGGAGGACTGTACGCGTAGGGCGCCGCTCACGGCGGCTCAGCGCTGCGACGCAGCGGTGACGACGTCGATGACGCTGCTGCATCGCATCCGGTCGTCGCCGAGCTACCTGTTTATAAAGTGCTATTTGATATGTACGCTCGTGACGTTGTTTGCTGCGCGGCCGCTGTCGTCGCGGCTGAATGCGAATGGCCCATGGACGTGGTATGAGTCGACCGAGGGTGGCCATGGCCTGTCGTCGTGGGGGCGCATGCAGGCGCTGCTTGCGAGCGCGACGCGTCGCGAGGGCCGCGCATCTACGTCGACATCGCAGGCGGCGTCCGCAACGGACCGCCACTCGGTCACGGGCGCCCCATCGAGCCCCCATGCGACGGGCCTGGGCTTTTGGTGGCAGGAGCGGCGCTTTCCGTTCCTGTTTCCGCCACCGCAGATCCCGCTGAGCCTCGCGCCGCCCGTGCGCCTGCCGAGAATCCCGCTGTTCGAGCGGTGGCGGCTGCGGTGGCACGACATGTCGCATTTGCGCCGCCTGGTCGCGTACGACGACCAGGACACGGAGACGTTCCCGGAGCTCGAGTGGGATGCGCATGTACGATGCTCCAGTGAGCTGCACGACGAAGAGAAGGCAGCGATCTACCAGCGGCGCATCCACATGTCGTCGCACGGCGCCAATACGCTCGCGCAGTTTCTCCAGCTGCCCGACGACGAGTATGTGCACCCCGACGATGTGCCGCTGATCGCGATTGGCGGCTCCGGTGGCGGCTATCGCGCCATGTACGGCTACACGGGCTTTCTGAAGGAGGCGGAAAACACGGGCCTGTGGCAGTGCACGATGTGGACGTCGGCGGTCAGTGGCTCCTGCTGGACGCTGGCGGCGTATTATACGATTGCCAAGTGCTCGACAGACGTGCTGGTCGCGCATCTGCTCGCGATGGCCCATGAGGAGGCGCATCCCATGAGTCTGCAGGCGATGGACCGCATTGCGCGCTCGTCGCACGGCATCTACTACCTGCTGGGACCGCTGCTGCGCAAGTCCCGGAACAAGTCGCTGCAGTGCCGCATCATGGACTTTTACGCGACCCTCGTCCTGTCGTACCAGTTTCTGCCGCGACCGCTCTCCCTCTTCGGCACGGACTACTCCTACAACGGGCCGAGCTCGGACCGCGAGCCGAGTCTGCAGGAGCACAGCATGTGGACCAAGTACGAGCCGAGCGAGGGCCTGAGCCGCAAATCGTTCCAGTGGTCCAAGGTGTGGAAGCGTGCGCACATTGACGAGGGTCTGCAGCCCATCCCCATCATGACGGGCGTGCGGCGTGTGTGGCGCCCACACAGCAAGGCCGAAGTCGCCGTCGTTGAGCAGGCGCCAGGCGTCGAACGCGCGCCGCTCGTGGGCAGTGGCTACGACTGGTACGAAATCTCGCCACTCGAGTTGGGATGCCGCAACATTGGTGCTTGGATCCCGACTTGGGCCTACGGCCGC